TAGATTTTCTTTTTTTCTTTTAATAAATTTTTGGGGGATTCTTTAGGCTCCTTAAAATAGTGGAGTGATGTCTTTCACCAGTTCTGGAAAATTCTAAGTTATTATCTCTGCATATTGCCTCTGCTCCATTGTCTCCGCCATCTCTTTATGGAACTTGATTAAATGTATGGTTGATCCTGTATCTATGTTGCACACTTTCTTTATTATTTCTAGGTTTCATGTTTTTATGTTCACTCTGTATAATTTCCTATCTTCCAGTTCACTAATTCTTTTTTTAACTTTATCTAATCTATTAACCCATCCCACTGAGTTTTTAATTTTATGTTGTTGTTTTTTTTTTTTTTTTAATTTTCCAAAGTACTGTTGTTTTTATTTTCAAATATTACTTTTCCATAGTTTCTTGTTCTTGGATATTTTCAAGTTTGTCTTTGATTACTTTAAATACAATTTTATTATCTATAGATGTTAATACCAGTATCTGAAATGTTTGATAATCTTTTTCTGTTGTCTCTTGTTTTAGCTGGCTCACATGGAGTCTTATTTTCTTGGATCCTGGTTATTTTTGACCATGTATTGGCCCTTGTAGTTGATAAGTTGTAGGAATAATTTGAGGCTTACAGAGAAAGTACTTTGCTCCAGAGGAGATTTGCATTTGCTTCTACTAGGTTCTGAAATACACTACAAGCCTAAAACCAAATTTTTTATGGTTAAGATTCCTGGACGATTCAAGCTAAGCTTTAATTTTGAGCTTTAATTTCTGGTTCACTTTCACCATGAGAGTGAAGCTCATTGGAGTCTCAGTTTATTGTGAGTAGAGTCTCCAGTTAGACTTCCCAACTTATGTTGGCCTTGGACTTTCGTTTCTACTCATTTGACCTTGAAAGGCAGTCAACACAAAGGCTTTAATTTTCTAGGGTAGGTAAATACCTCCAGGGTAATGGAGGTATTTAATGGCCATCTGCCATGCTTGCAACCTGTCTAGGATGTCATTTTCCTTTACTTTAGTAATTCAATACTGTTTGGTTACCTCTTTGATACTTTTTAGGGAGATTTTATATATGTATATAATTAAATTTTATTCAACTTATTTGTTTCTGTTCAGCAGAGTTAACTTGAATAATTTAATCTGCTAGTATTAAAAACACGAAAATATACTCCCTCTCTTCTCGTACTCTGAAATAGTTTGTAAGGTTGGCATTAATATGTGCTTCTTGAACATTTGACTACTGGCTTTGCTTCTTTAGTGTTTATGGAAATATTTAGGCTTTCTCTTTCTTCTTGAATTATTTTTGGTGCACTCACATTCTGTCCTCCTGCCCCATATATATATTCATTTAGTCTACATTTTCTGACTTATTGACTTAAAGTTGATCTTTTTAATGTCTATGGCATGTTTTCTGTTTTTTCATTCCTCATATTTATTTGTGTCATTTTTCTCATCTTTTGTAAAAACCATTTTACTTATAGTTTATTTGAATATATTTTCAGAGAATTAACTTTTGGCTTGGCTTTTTTTTTTCAATTAATATCTGTACTTTATATTTTTCCTTATATTTTCTTTGGTTTTATTCTGTTCTTTTTACAATCTTCTTAAGATGGATGCTTGCTTATTCATTTTAGCTTTCTTTTATAAATTTCTCCGTAAGTATTAATTTAAGTACATCCTGCAACTTATCCTATATAGTATTTTCCTTATTATTTGGTTCTGAATAATATTCAGTTTTTTATATTATTTTTATCTCCTAGATTCTTTCCAAACATACAGAGTTTTTCTAATTATGTTTTCTTATTGATTTATAGCTTACCTGCTTTGTGATTAAAGAGCATGGTCTTTAAAAAAAATTCCTTATTTTTGTGTATTCCTACCCAACTTTTTGGTTTGAAATATTTCAGACTTAAAGAAATGTTGCATCATAGTATGATGAATACACTTAGATTCACCAGTTTCACATTTTGCTACATTTGTCTATTGTCTGTCTGTACCTCCCTCCTTCTCTCTCTCATTCTCCCCACCCTTTCCCTCTTGCTCTCTTCCCTTCTCCGATCATATGAGAGTTTCTTGTGGATATCATGAAAGAATATGCTATTTTTATTATTGAAATTCTTTGAGACTTATTTTATGTCTTAATATATGGTCAGTTTTTCTAAATGTTTCATATGTGCTTGAAAATATGTATTTACAGTGTTTGGGTGCAGTTTTATATGTGTCTATTTGTATGTGTGTCTGGTTTGTGAATTGTTCTGTTTAAACTATTATATTTTTATTGATTTTTTTTTCTGTTAAAATCTCATTTAGTGTAGATTTGTCCATTTCTCCTGTAGTATGTCAATTTTGCTTTATACATTTTGTGGCTATGTTATTAGATGCATATAAATTTTTTAAATTGCTGTATCTTTCCTGACAATTGAATGTGTTATCCTTACATGGTGACTCTTATAATGCTCTTTTCCTTTGGTCTATTCTTGCTTAATATTAATAGAGCTATACCAGCCTTTTTTTTAAAAAATGGAGTTCGCCTGACAAACATTTTTCTAATCTTTTTATTTTCAATTTTTATATACTTGTCTTTTAGCCAGAGCATTTTCATTTACTTTTAATTTATTTATTCATAGTTGGATCTATGCCTTACTTTATATTTTATTTGTCATCTTTCAGATTTTTTACTTTTTTCTCATCTTTCTCTTTTTTCTCATTTACACTTTTTTCTTCAGCTAGTTTCAAAGTCGTAAACTCAATTTCTGTTTGTTTTTTTCTTGTTTAGGAGTTACTTCAGAAATAATAACATCTATACTTAAATTGCCATAGTTTATTTATCAGAGGTAAATATCCAAAGACCCATGTGAATGTGTCAAGGTAGACTTCCCAGAGAACTTTAAAAAATATTTTAAAAATACAAGTTTTTATATTTTCAAATAATACAGAAGTTCAAATAATACAGAAGTAAAAAGTATTTGTTGCTTTGTCTTATCACACCACTTGGTGTGTGTCTTTACAGAACCTTTTCATATGTGAGCATATGGGTTGGTGCTTTAAAAAAATGTGAACATGCTATGCATTTGCTGCAACTTGTTTTTTAACCTCATAATATAGACATCTTCCCATGTCAGTACATACAGATGTACGTCATTATTTCTAAGGGTTATATAATATTGCAATAAACAGATGAATCCGAGTTTAAGCATTTTCCTTTTGAAGAAAAATTTGTATCAATACCAATTTTTCACTATAAATAGTGCTGCACTGAACATCATTGTACATAGATCTTTGATACCCCTTCTATATCACAGATTCCTGAAAGTGGACTTACTGGCTTACAGGGAGTATATATTAAATTTTTTCATTAAAGAATTTAGGTAACAAGATATCTAGAGTAGTCAGAATCACAGAAACAGAAAGTAGAATGGTGGTTGCCAAGGCTAGGGGGAGGGGGAAATGGGGAGTTATTCAGTGGGTGTAGTTTCAGTTTTACAAGATGGAAAAGTTCTAGAGATCTGCACAACAATGTAAATATATTTAACACTACTCAACTGTACACTTAAAAATGGATTAAGAGGGTAAATTTTGTATTATGTGTTTCTTACCACAATAACTTTTTTTTTTTTTTTTTTTAAATTTAGGTTACTGCAAGAGTTTGATATGATTGGGACCTATTTGGGAGAAATGAAGTAGATGGGAGGTGGGAGATCATAAAGGATCTTGTGGGCCATTTTAAACAGCCAGAACTTTATTCTTTAGGCAATGAGGACATTGAAGGGTTTCAAACAAGGGAATAAATTGAGCATATTTTAGAATATTCTCTTAGGCATGGAGGGTCTATTGGGGCTAAAATGAAAGAGGGCAGAGGGTGGAACAGGGAGATCAATTAGACTTGAAATAATATTGAATTAATGAAGTAGTGACTGGAAGGGTAAATTAGATGTTAAGGAAGTAGAATGGAATGACCACTTGGAAAGGGTAAAGGAGTAGGAGGAATCAAGGAAACCCCAGGTTGCAAATAGCTTGGCTGATTCAGTGGAGAGTGGTGTTATTAACTAAGGCAAGAAACAAAATAGGAAGAGAAGATTTGAGGGTAAAAAACCAAATGAGGTCATTTTAGATGTGTTCTTTTTGAGGTGTATCCAAACAGAGCATTTCATTAGGTTAGTGGGTATATGGGCTTAAAGCCTGGAAGAAAGGTCTAGGCTAACGGGGAGAGATAGAGAAAGTGTTTTAGGGTATAAATGGTAGCAAACAACAACAAACCATGACCTAAATGCTGAACGTTTATTATACACCTGTAAAAAGCTTCAGTGACCAGAGTGTTAGTACATGGTCAAAAGAGGTCTGAGGACAGAGCTCAAGGAAGCAGTCAGCCTTTATGGGCAGTTGGAGGAGAAGCAATCAGCTGAGACTGAGGAGCAGTCAGGTAGAATGAGAACACTGAGATGGTAGCATCATGGGAGCTAAGGGAAAATGGTTTTAGAAAGGAGGATTATGTAGATGGCAGATGTTGCAGCAAGATTACATATGACTGAGAAATCACCACTATTGGATTTAGAATTTAAGTTCTTTTGCCATGAAGTACTATAAGTAGAAATCAGATTTCAGTGATTTGGAAAAGGAAGATGAAGTGAGAAAATGGAAATAGCGATATAGACTGATTCTGTTTTGGGAGGACGGGACACTGACATTTATTGAATGTCTATTGATTTCAGGTACTGTTATATCAGATACATATAACAGAATTGATTGTTCTACCTAACATTTCTTTTGGTTAAAAAAAAAAATTTTTTTTGGTCCAGAATCATTTTCACTTATGTGTATGTATAAGGTTTGAGTACCTCATGATCTAATAAGGAAAGAGAACTTTTTCACTCTTTGTGACAAAATTCGTGTTCTTCAACCCTTAGGCTTATGAGGGGAAATGTTGGCACATGGATTTTTTGTTTATATTATATCGCCCATTCTCTTCTAAACTCAAACAGAATTGAGCTATTACCCTACCTTCCTTCACTCCTAGGCCCGTTATGAAAGCCAGAGGATCCAGCTGGAGTCAGAGCTGGCTGTGCAGCTGGAGCAGCGGGTGACAGAGCAGCTGGCACAGGCTCAGGAGAGCAGCCTGCGGCAAGCAGCCTCCCTGAGAGAACATCACAGGTACTTGGGTCTTACTGGATACTGCTTCTCCTCAGCCACACAGGTGTTGTTAGTGCCCTGTCCATATCCTCTTGGATCACTTTACCATTTTTAAACATGCTGGCTTCTACTGGCTCCCATAAGCTAGGACCTCAGTCTCTCTACAGGTGCACATAGACAGCCAAAGTGCTTGGGAATTTTCATACCAGAGGAAGTATCTTTACCAATAACTGATGGGTGCAAGAATATAAATTTTCCAGCTCCCTTGTCCCTGATGGGGACAATGCTGAGCTGTGACCTACACCATCTCCAGAGCTGTCCTGTGGGACTGAGCCTCTTTCCCATCCCAGTCTCACTTCCCTCACCCCCGCTTCCCTGTCAGTTTTTTTTTCTGGAAATGCTTCTTAAATGAATCACTTTCCCATAAATCCTCATGTCAGTCTCTGCTTCTGGTGAACCCATCCTAAGGCACTAGCTTTGGCCTTACTCTTTCCTGAGCCCACTTGTGCCATGGCCAGGCTGGCTGCCTGTGTCTGTTTATCTCTCACATGTACACATTCTGGCTTTTTCTCATTTGATTATTTCTGTCCCCAGATTCAGTCCTCTTCTCACCTGTGTCCTCTTAGGAAGCAGCTGCAGGACCTAAATGGACAACACCAACAGGAATTGTCCACTCAGTTGGCTCAGTTCAAGGTGGAAATGGCAGAACGAGAGGAAAGGCAGCAACAGGTGGCTCAGGACTATGAGCTCAGGTACTAGTTCCTGGAGTATCCCTTTTAGGCCTCAGTCCCTTTCCTGTGTGTAGAGCCCAAACTGGGAATGGTGAAGAGCTGCCCGCTCCATAGATCTGTCCTCTTCTACATTGGCCTTAGCTCCTTTTAGAACTTCCACTATCTGACATTCTGTTCTGGCTTCTCTTATTTGCCAAGTCTCTGATTTCTCAAAGGCCCTACATCATTTCTCCTGTCTTTTCTTCAGACTGGCCCGGGAGCAAGCGCGAGTACGGGAACTGCAGAGTGGGAACCAGCAGCTGGAGGAACAGCGAGCTGAGCTGGTAGATCGACTCCAAGCCATGCTGCAGGCCCACTGGGAGGAGGCAAACCAACTGCTTGGCACCTCTACCTTGCCTTCTAACCCCCCGGTAGGCCTTGCCCCTTAAGTTAAGCTGCTCAGAATCTTTGTGTATAGATTCCTTCTTTGGAAATCTAGCTTCCTCCCAAGGGAAGGCCTAAGTTCAGGTCCTTGGACCTGCATTAAAAGAAATCCATAGACTTTCCCAAAGAGTAACTATCTCATCAAAAGAAATCTTTTTTTCTGTGGCCATGGCTCACCCAGACTGGCCTCATTACATTAGGCCTAACTCTTTTCTCAGCCCAAGAGGTGGTGAGGAATACATGGTACTAGTTTTTGCCAAATGGCAGTTGAATTAATTATGATGGTAAAGACCAAAATTTTTGCCAAGTTCTACCCTATAGTAGGGTTGGAAGTCTCACCCCTTCTTACGTTGGCATCTCCTGCTTCTTTCTTTTCATCATGAAATTTTTATTATTAGCTAAAATATTTTTTGGAATAGATAATAATATGCACATGGTAAGGAAAAAACCCAAATAGTTCAAAAAAGGAACAAAGTAATTGCCATCCTATATCTACACCTCAGTCTCCTGGTTCCTCTCCCCAGAAACAACCAAAATGTCTGTATCATGTCTTGTCTCTAAATGCAGTGGGCTTTGATCCTTCTTTCTGCCTCTTACGCCCAGGTCCCTACTGCCAGCCCCTCCAGTCCTGGGCCCCAGGAACCAGAGAAGGGGGACAGGAGGATCTGGACTATGCCTCCCACGGCTGTGGCCCTAAAGCCTGTGTTGCAAAAGAGCCGGGAAGCAAGGGACGAGCTGCCTGGAGTGCCACCTGTTCTCTGCAGCTCCTCGCCAGATTTTAGCCTCGTTCTGGACCCCACTTTCCAGAACCAACATTCCTTCCAGCCCCTTGAGCCAAAGCCAGATCTCACCTCATCTTCAGGTAACCAGAGACAGACATCTCTGGGGATCTCCTTACATGCACTAATTGGCTCCCTCTTACCTATCTTCTCTTCTCTCTGAGACTTGAGTATTTAATTTCCCAGATATCTTACTGACTGTAAGTTTCAAGGAGCAGAAATCTACTCAAGTTGGTTTGCATAAAGAGAGTAAGATCTCATGGAAATATGATGTAGCTAGACCTGATGAGAACTGGAGTTTGGATCCAGGAGCATTATTAGAAACGGAGGCAACCACTCCTCCTTTCTTTGGGGTCTTGATTCTGCCTCTCCCTGCACATCTGCTCCTTTTGGTAGACCAGCACTCTCTCATTCAAGGGTCTAGCTCTCATAGCTTTGGCTTGTACATGGGTTTGACCAGCCATGACACTGACTCCAGCCAAGATTCTGGATAACCTTAGAGAGACATTGTTGTCTCTGTTTTTTAGGTCCAGTTTAAAGAGAGGCAGTCTGATGGGTTGGCAACCATCCTTTTTTTTGGCTAACCTTGGGAGTGGTATCCACCCCTGGTTTAGTCATCTGTAACTTGGGTGGATGGGGTGCACTGTGTAATGCAAACATGACAACCCAGGTTGAATTAAGAATGAGGAATGAATTATATCACACTTTTAAATATAAAAATTATATAATAGTAATAAAAAAGAATGAGAACATGTTCTGGTGAAGGGGCTAAAACATGTTTATTAATTCCAAACCATTCTAATCTTTCGTTATCATCTCCTTGTTGCAATGTCCATCTTATATTTAATAGACCTCTTCTAGGCATTTGGTGAGTTGAGTTGTGGAGGAACCCCTCACCTTACAACATACACATGGGTGTGCATGCACACATGTGCACACACACACTTTACAGCTAGGGCCTTCTCCTCTGCAGTTGGGGCCTTCCATCCCAATCACAGAGCAGAACGGCCATTCCCTGAGGAAGATCCTGGATCTGATGGGGATGGCTTCCTAAAGCAAGTGCTGCCACCCCCTTCTCAGCTGGCGGGCCTCAAGCATTTTTTACACCAGGTAAGAGAGGGCCTACCCATCCCACCTTATTTTCTTCTTCTCTTCCTCATTTCTTCTTTCTGTTCTAGGAGTCCAGGACTCTGGCTTCATCTCCCTTTTAGAAGTAATACTTTATCCTAGCTTCTTACTCTTCCAGTCTTTCTTATTCCTATCTCTTAAGTTGCTTCTGGGACTTAGGCAACCAACTCTAGCTCTGCAACTTGGGCGACCAACTCTCTTACTTTCCCAGCCTCTGCTTCTCACAGATGTCTAGGTCTCTTTCTTTATTAGTCCTCTGGGAACGCTTTCTATCTTGTTCCCCCAGCTGCTGGACACAGTACCCCAGAACAACGAGAACCCATCTGTTGATCTGTTGCCCCCTAAGTCTGGTGAGTGCCAACTTTGAAGAAGGTTGGGGCTAGGCCTGGAAAATAGAGTGGGTTATCTGGAATGGATTGTTAGAAGCTGGTAAAAGCTTTATTAGGTGATGAAGCCTAATGAAGGCCAGGTGGTAGGACCTCCATGGCTCTTTAACCCATTTCCTGATTTTTTGATCTCTTTTGGTAGGTTCCCTGACTGTCCCATCTTGGGAGGAAGCCCATCAAGTGCCACACCTGCCACCCCCTGTCCATAAAACTAAAGTGCCCTTAGCCATGGCGTCTAGTCTTTTCCGGGTCCATGAGCTTCCCTCAACCCATTCACAGAGCAGTGTTCCCAGCAGTGGCTCCCCAGAGAGAGGTAAACAGGCCATGGTTTACTGGTAGATAAAGAGGGAAGGTGTTGGGTGTGGAGCCAGAAGCTGGAAGTAAGGCCCTTCTGAAGTCCTAGGAAAATGGAATGAGGGCTGGGGAGTGGGGCCCTAGGATGATGACTGTTACTGATACGTCTATCAGGTGGCGATGGGCTTGCATCCTCAAGGCAGCTGATGGAGGTGTCTCAGCTGTTACGACTATACCAAGCTCGGGGCTGGGGGGCACTGCCTGCTGAAGATCTGCTGCTCTACCTGAAGAAGCTGGAACACAGCGGGTACCAGCCTTGGGGGGAAACGAGGAAGGATTAGGCAGAAGGAATTTGGATCGTGGGCAGGGAAGAGGGCTGTGTATATGTGTGTATGTTGACCATTGAGTACTCTTTTGTCTTTTTCTGGGGAAGAAAATGAGGGTAAGATATAGATCAGCAAGTCTTCCTGTCTCTCACTCCTCCCACCTTTCTTTTGTCTCTTCCTTTCTACTTTGTGTTTTTCTTGCTTCTAAAAATAGTCTCTTTTCTATGCCTTTCTACCTTAGTTTTTTTCTCTTTATCCTGTAGCTCAGAACTCTGACTCCTAGGATTGTGACTACTCAGTATAACTCAGTATTTGGTTCCACTAATATTTCCTCCTGTCTGATCCCAGGTCTGTCTTGTTTGTTCTCATTCTTAAGAGACAGAATTTGGGAGTAGTTCTTTTATCCAATGTTGGGGAGAGTGGGGGGAAGTGTTCCCCATGCTCATCCCTTGATTTATATGGCAGGACCGATGGCCAAGGAGATAATGTCCCCAGAAGGAACACAGACTCCCGCTTCTGTGAGATTCCCCGGAAAGAGGTGAGGAAAAGCAGGGCAGGATGAGGGGGATGGAAGGGCTCTCACTGACCCATTCCTCCAGCTCTGCACACTCCCTGGCTGGCCCTGTTCTCTATTGCCTGACCCCTCTGATTGCTATCCCCATAATTTGTAGCGTGGTCTCTCCCTCTTGCCTAATGATTCTGGCCCTCTCCGTGCATGACACCTTTCCTCAGTGGGGTGGGGGATGAGAGTACACGATGCTGACTTTCTCCTCTCTTTCCTTCAACTCTTAGGTTCCCTCCCAGGCTCTCCCACGCCGCCTTGCCACAGCCCCTAAGACTGAAAAACCTCCAGCACGCAAGAAAAGTGGGCATCCTGCCCCTAGTAGCATGAGGAGTCGGGGGGGGATCTGGAGATAAGCCCCTTGCCCTTTCTCCTCTTTGTTCTGTTAATACTATTTTAATAAATGCTTGATAGTCTGTATTAGAGTCTTTGACTTATAGGAATTTGGTAAATGGAGGTTTTGTAGAAAACTGCTTTGTAAAGAAACCTCATTTTATTCTGTTTGAGTATTTTTTTAATATGTTATATGTTTCTATTTTATATTCTGTGGAAAAGACCTGAAGACAGTCTATGGCTAGGTTGGAGAAGTTTTAGTGAACTTAAGTTCAGTGTTTTAAGAATAAAAAACTACAGAGTGATTAGCTCTGGTTGGTAGTGTAATTATGGATGATTCTTACTTTCTTTATACATTCTTGTAGTTTCAAAATTTTCTAAAAGTATTAATAATCAGAAAAACAAAATTTTAATAAAAGTAAATTATTATTTAAAGAGTTTGAGTAAAAATGTGATTGTTGAGACAGTTTTCTCTTTTAAGAATGGACCGTTATTTCAAATTGCTTTAATAGGGTTCTGATTGATAGATTCCGCTCCAGCTAGAAGACATATTATGGCTGTAATCTTCACTCTTATGGCTTTAGAACATATATAAAAGACTAGAGTGGTGGTAAGAAAAATGAAATCCATGATTACAAAAACTTCCATCCTAATACTTACCAAAATGAATAAAAAGAAATAGAGAAGAAAATGACATCTGTGTGAAACTAAGAAAGGCCCAACTTCATAGTGCAAACACTGAAAAATAAACTGTACAATTCAGATTATACTGAAGGGTGATGCCTTGGGACCCACACACAGCTTTCCAGCTCTGGGGCACAGTACAGGGTGGTGACAATGGTAAATACAATTCTGAAGGGCCTGGTCCTAGGTGAGTATGGAGGGAGAGAGTTTACTAGATTCTGAGGCCCTTCTATTTGCCCCTGAATTATTTGGTTAGATCCAGAATGGACAGGATAGGATATAGACTCACATAGTATTCCATATAAATGTTTAGGTCTTATTTCCTTCCACCTAAAGATAACTTTCTGGCCCCTGGGAGAGGGAAAAAGGAAGAAAAGATAAACACGTTATGACCAGCAGATGTGTGAGTTCTCCACCCGCAACTGGCCAGGACAGCTTGGTCATCAGTCTCACTCAGGACGGCTCTCACTGGCAAAGAAACAAGAGGTAAACTCATGTAGGAGTAGCAGTAGGTTTGGGGGATTTTTCAAGCTAGCTCTCTTCAGCCACCTTTGGAAATGTTTGCTTTTCTATTTTTTACCTCAAGTGCCTAAAATTGAATTGACCAAACTCTGCGACTTATGGCACACTATTATTGGTAGGAAAGGGGCTTATACCATTTTTTAAAGCTAGCAAAATGAACACTATCTTATTTCACTATCTCTTGGATTCCAACTTGCCACCATCAGTCAACATATCCTACATTTTTAACATGAAGGACGATCTGGAGAATACTTCCCAACTCTCCAGAACAAAATCAGAAAAGGGCACAGTGGTGACTTAACCATTTTGCGAGCTAAGTATAATAAGACAACTATGATTTAAAATATATATATATACCCAGATTAAAAGTCTTCACCAATAACCACAAAGGAATCTGGGGAGGAAGAGAAAACCCACAATCAAACAGCCTCCTACTTTTTTCCTATATAATCATCTTGGGGATATTCTGAAAGAAGAAGAAAAAAGAAAGATTTGGGAGCTCTATAAAAACCCATATGTAGAAGAGGTGGTGCATCCTTTCACTTGGTGTAGACAGGGTGTAATATAGGACTTCATCTCCTGAGAACTCTCACAGCCATTTGGTGGGGGAAGTTCTGGTGGTAGAAAATATTAGGGTAAAGGCTAAGCTGTTACAACAAAGAAACCCAATGGTACGGTGGCTTCAGGGCAGTTTATTTCCCTGATAATGGTCTTGCTGCATATGGTCACCTAGGGTCTCAGGTTCTTTCCATCTTATTGCTCTGCTATTCCCTAGATCAGTGTTGTTATTTGTGTGGTTGAAGCAAGATCATTGTCATGTAGAACACTCAGCTGGCAAGAAGGAGAAAGAGCCATGTCCAATGTCTTAACCCATGCTTGGAAAAGCCACGTATCAATTTTGCTCATATTTCATTGGCAAGACCTTGGTCGCATGGCCACATCTGACTGCAAGAGAGACTCAGCAATGTAGCCTAGCTGGCTGCCATGAATGCACCTATGATTATTACTACTCAAGAACTAAGGAAGAATAATTTTGGTGGACAACTAGCACCCTGCACTACAGAGAGTGGGACCTCCTTTGGAGAATTTGAAAACTAGTAATTGCTGAGACAACCCATGCAGTTATCAGTACTGACTGCAAATAATGAAAAACTACACCAGATGCGTAAATTAGTCTAAGTATGTCAAGTATCACTGAAGATGTAGAGCAATAGAAACTCTACTTACACTCTGCTGGTAAAAGACCAAGGAGAGGAAAGGTAGATCACTTTGGGAAACATTTTGGCATAATCTAGTAAATGTGATGATACCCACACCCTATGACACAGTGAATCCATCCCTAGGGAGATGCCCTAGAAAAACTTGACTATATGTGACAAGTGTAAGAATGTCATAGCAGAAACCTGCAAACAAATGTCCACCAGCAGCAATAGATTCATATAACGAAATACCACACAGTAATACAAATGGATGAGCCAAAGTTACATGTACTGATATGGATGAATTTCACAAACATAATGTTGAGTGAAAAAAAGCAGATCGCAGAAGAAAATATGCTGTATACTATTTAAGTGAAGTTTGAAAACAAGCACAGAACAGTTCAGCATGGGAGGAGAGGGCCTTCACAGCAGATGGACTGGCTCTATGTTGGGGGTGTGGAGTGAGTCCATTTGACGGGGTGGCCTGGAAAGGTGTCAGAGCAAGAGTAAGGTGAGAAGAGGGCATCTGTGTGAGAGGATGTAGTGAGAGATTGTTACACATGGGGGATTAATCAAATATGTAAATATCTTACAAACAAATTACCACAAACTGGGTGACGTTACGCAACGGAAATGTATTCTCTCAGTTCTGGAGGCTGGAAATCTGAAACCAAGGTGTCGGCAGGACTGTGTTCTCTGAAGGCTCTAGGGGGAGGACCCTTCCTTGCCTCTTCCTAGCTTCTGCTGATGGTTACCACGATCTTTGACATTCCTTGGTTTGTAGACATATCACTCCAAACATAGAGTTTTCTTGTCCCTCTGTGTTTTCACATGGTCTTTTTATAAGAACATCGGTGATTGGATTTAGGGCTCACCCTAATCCAGTATGACCTGGTCTTAACTGACTACGCAAAGACTCTATTTCCAAATAAGGTCACATTCAGAGGCACTGGGGGTAGAACTTCAATTTATCTTTTGGAATACAGTTCGATCCATAATAACTCCATTAACAGTGAACACACCCAGCATCCAGCTCTTTCCTTCTAACTATCATTCTCTACTAAAAAGGAACCAAGGTTCCTTGGAGAAATGGCTGATTCCAGGTCTGGATCAGGGAAAGTACAAGATAAACCTGGAAAATCCTGAGGTAAAAAGTAAGGATGTGCTTAGAGACTTGTGAGGACATGGCAACAGAACACAGGAGCTGGCTTGAGAGGCTCTATGGACTCTACAATTTGAACATCAAAATAAATTATAATAAGGGGTTATAATTGATTGAATAAAATAAGAAACCATGAGTTCATAGAAATATAAGTAAATTGAGAGTTTGATGAGATACAGGATATAGTTTCAAAGTATGTCCCACAAAACAGTAATTATAATGGGGAAAGTGTAACTTTATAGTAGAGAATTCTGGCTGAACCACCTTAATTAAGTGATGATCAAAGTGAACATCATCAAGATGAATCAAATCTAAATTGTGCACCATCTGAGAGGACGCAAGGAGAATACATCTGCGAGATTCCTGCCAAAGATCGATAGCCTGAATTTAACAATGAAAAAACATCACACAAACCCAAACTGAGAGACACCAATTATTGGCCTACAATTTTCGAAATGTCAAGATCATGAAAGGCAAGAAAAGACAGGAAATGTCTCCATTATAAATCGTCCCTTGGCTTTTTAATGTGTATTTTTTATTTAGACCACCATTTGTAATTTAGACACTGGCACCCCAAAACTGCCTTTTAAAGCCAGGATATGGGCTTTTATACATCAGCAAGTGAACCAGAATCTCAAGTTATCTTATGAAGGTCATAGAGAGGTATTAATTTGTGGTATACATGAATAATATCACTTTTTATTTTTTTTAAAAAGAGTAAACAATAGAAACAATTTTATCAAGAAAACAACTAAGACAAATATGAAAAACATTAGGTGAATCCAAAGGAACAAACCTGTAGCTTTAAATGGACCGCCATTGGGCTTAAGCTGGACTGTGTGTTTCTGCCACTTATGCCCAGGATTTAACTGCTTGTTTTTATGTCTATTGCTCCACCTTGATCCTAAGCAGCTTGAAAACAGGGTCTGCATTCTTTAGCTTTGTATTTCAGGATTCAAGCATATAGCCTGGTGGAGAGTAATTTGATCAATTGGTGTTTGTTGACTGAAGTTTAAAAATTTTATTTTCTCCTATAAAGCTTACTTATTATAGAAGTTTTAGAAAACAAGCAAAATTATAAATGAGAATCATATTTTCTTCTCATTTTTAATGTACATCCCAGAGTCCTCTTCGGAGTTAATGATTCTCCTTAGCATCTCTGTGTTCTACCCTGGGGCCCGAGAATTCAGTCAGATGTTCCTGTGGCCCTCTGGGCTGAGGGAGACTGTAGGGCTCCCAAGATCTTTGTTCCTCTGTCACAGGCTGGGCCACAGGGACTTCCATGAGGCCTCTGCCCTGAGTCCCAATCTCTGCGGACTTTCTCCACCTTGGGCTCCATCCCAAGCATCCTCAAACTTAAATTTCTGATTCTGTGCCCCCACCTTGGGGTTCATTCTGGTATTGGGGTGAGGGTAGAGTACACTCAGCACCACTCGCCTCCTCGCTCCCCTCAGTCTTTCTTGTCTTGGGAGTGAAGAGCCTAGCTATATCTCATTTACCAGAATCCTTCCTGTGTCCCTACAGGGCCTTGACTCTGAACTTTGGACATTTAAAAGTTAGCTTTAGACATTCTTTTTCTTCTAAATTCGTATAGTGCCACCCTTTCCCTGAGGCTGTGAATGCAGAATACTCGAAAGAGTGAATGAGGAAGGGGTTAAGGTTTAACAGGAAAAATGGAGAAAAGATGGATAATATTTCCAAATATTCTGTCTATGAAATTAAAGAGATCCAAATTATACCACAGTGGCATACAAATTATTTTGAGCTGAAGACATTTGAGTTTTGTCTGAACCCTTCCTTACATGACTAAAAGCAGAAACTTCTGGAAGTGAAACTGACATAATCCCCTCTTGAGGACAGCTTCACCC